GGGGGGGGGGGGGGGGGGTGGTTCCATGACACTTTGCGTTTGCCCTGCAGCAGCTCACATGTTGTTGGTGTTAAAGAGGTTAAACTTCTTGGCGAACTGGTCTCTTCGCTCCGTCGGCACCGTGCTCAGTTCCACCACCTTGGGCTTGCCCCCGTACCCCACCACCAGCCCGCCCGTCAGGTCGGCTCTCGTGCGCTCGATGGCCTCCACGGCGAACTCGGCCTCCTGATCGAAGATGTGGTACAACATGTCTAGGTCCACCGTGGCCCCGAGGTTGTCCACGTTGCTGATGAAGATGTACTCCTTGCCCTAAAGATTATTCATCGGTCAGCCGGTTAGCGTCTCGTACGTCAGCCGGCTGGCGCGGTCGTTGCTGATAAAAGCAACACACACACACACACCGTTTCTGTCTTCAATCCGGAGGAAAATCTATATCATGACCTTAGAAGCGTTTCTCCGTTGATGGCTGCACGAAGACTGACGTCTTTTCTTGGTCGACCGTTTGGCGCGGTCGAAAGTAATGAAAAAGACACCTACACCCACACAGACGTCGAGGGGTTTTCGTCCCGCTTATCCTGACGCTTTGTCATTGGCCAACTGTTGAGCATGTTCCCGGTATTGTCTTCATCCCGGTATTGTCTTCAATACACTGTTGAGAAATGGTACAAACTAAAACTCGTACCAGAGGCAATTTGTGTTTTGTAGTAGGATAGGGAGAACTAATAGATACAAACCAGCAGCATCCCTTTCATCACACAAGAAAGATGCACACACATACACGTAGGAGGCAGCCGCGACGGTGGCCGCAAAGGAAAGGAAAGCCAAACCACACACCAGGAACTCTCGTGTGTCCACAGCATGAACGATGAACGCACAAGGAATCAAGGGAAATCAAGGGTCTTTTTTCAGGAAGCGGAGGCAGACAGGGGGGGGGGGGTAGTAGCGATGGGGGTAGGGCGGAGCAACGAAATCTGGGTGCAAGCCACGCCGTACGCACGTGGGGGTACTACAGAGGTCAAAAGCCCCCAAACAGGTTGGCCGTGGCCCGCTTGCACCGTTGTTGGAATCGCACATCCCACCACACTTCTGCCGCTGGTAGGTACGGAACCTACACACGACTAGACGCGACTCGGGCACGCGTAAGCGTGCTTAACAGTCACCACATTTGTCGGTGCCAGACAAACATCCACACAACTCCGACAGCCAAGCGACAAAAACAACATACGTCCATCCGCGCCCACGGCAGTCAAGTCTTCGAGAGGACACTAAGCTTGGTTTGAGTAGGAGTTACGGGTTGGGATAAGTATTACGACAAACTCCGCCTCTCTGTGTCGCATATTGACGCTTCATACCCTACCGAAGGCGGTCAGCTAACCTGGTTGATGAGGTTTTCCAGGAGGCCCGAGGCGTACAGCGAGTAGTACACGTCCCCGTGCCCTGGAGGATACCACTCCGATGGGGGGGATTCCCCAAACGGCCCCGAAGGCATCGGCTGCAGAGTGTCCTGTCGGAGAGGACGGAAAAAGGTACAACACGACAAAAGGGCAGAGGCGCCGCGAGCGAAGCGGGCGAGGTAAAAACGGCGTCACCGCAACAAGAACCTTTCTCGCGGACGCCCCGGCAAGCAGGCCGCCAGCGCGCGAGATTTAGGAAGCGCACCGCAGTGTCCCAAACAGAATCATGGGGGGGGGGAAGGGGCGGGCTTGCCCGGCGTCCGGGGCACACTCGTTCCGCACGATCCAGACGACAGGAAAGCCTTTACGCGTAGATCGCATAGTTGTGCTCCTTGCTTCCGTGCTCTTCAGCGGTCAAAGCCCGTCCATTCGCCGCAGTATCCACCCCCCGCTGCTCCGCTGCCTCCGACGTAAAGCTAGTCCCGGTGCCGTCTCATGAGTGCACTTCGTTGTTTCCTCTTTGGACTGGACAACGTAAACATCTCGCCCCCCTGGTACCACAAACCGCGTGGGATAGTGGTTCAAATCGTCGGTATGACAGGTGTCGACGGTTACCTTGACGACCTTCGAGACACTTTTGTCAACAAGACAAAATCCTTTCGCAACAACCGCGGCGACGACAAGGGAAATGAGCGGAGGATTGGAGGCAGTCCTGCTCCAGCAGGTAACTTATCAACAAGACAACGCCCGAGACGTGTATCATGCCGTGCTGCTAATCCATCACTCCCGTCGGAGAGAAGTTAAACGTCAAAGCCCGTGATACGGGTAGGGCGGATGCATCATGATCAGCAGTACCACCCACGAAGCATAACATCGGGACGACAATGTTGCGATCCGTCCCACCGTCTCCGCGTGCCGTAAGTTGGAGACGCATATGCATACTCGCCTTGATAATTCTGGGGTGGCAGCTCTGCATGAAGGTGTGGATGGTCAGGTTGTGCATGCGGTACTTCCGGATGATCTTCGCGGTGGTCTCGTGCGTCTTGAACGAGTCCAGAAGCACCAACGGCACGTCTGCTCCGACAGTCACCACACCATACCACACCACACGCCGCCGCGGCGCCAGCAGTGATGGTCGGCCCGGCGCCCGCCATCGGGGTCGCCAAGTGCATCGCGAAAATAAGGCCAGAGGGGGCGACAAGAAGATATGCACGTTTCAACCCATTCATCCACAAACACCCGAATACACGGGACAGCGACACATTGGCGGAAGTCGCAAACACAGCAGCCGCTGCAAAGACTGCAGGATGAATGTGCGCGACGAAACACAATGCACCATACATAGGGCTCACTGGAGAGCGGGTCTGTTTCCCGGAACGCATCGTCGTTCGAGAAGCTCACTCTCTTCTTGGGACGGCGAAACGACGGCCCCAAGTATCAGAGCTCCTCTGTCCTAGTGATGACTCACCCACTCCGTACATGCTGTTGAGGTATTCCACCTGTCGCACCGTCAGGTCCAAGAAAGAGAGGTCGTTCCGCACCTCTATCGCCGACTTAGGCCACGTGCAACCCATGCTCGTCCCGAGCCCGCCTGCAGCAAAAAAAAACAAGACCAAATCAATTTGATCCGTGGAACGAGGGCGTATGTAACAGCAAGTCACATGTGTTAGCTGTGTTGAGCAACATTCCCTATGTGCACGACTCTACGGCAGCAGCGCGGGTGGATGTTATCGAACGCAACGCTGCATTGCGTCAGCCTATTTTGGGTCCTTCGCTTCGGGCGACGCAGAGGCAAGTCTTTCACAAGGTCTTCATACGGCCACCTTGCTCTCGCCACCTTTCTCTCTCTGATGCGACCACTAGCCGAGACACTCACTCGGCGGTCATACTCTCACGACCTGCGTTTTTCATTTTTTCACCCAGGACTATTCATCGCGATAGGCCGATCGATTTATTCGAGAATACAAATGTGATGGTTTTGGCTGTGAAAATAACACTGCCTACCCGACAAAGACAACAAGTTCTGGGTGCGTGTTGAGCACTTGAACAGGAATGGAATGTTCGCTGACGCCAGGCGGAGACAAGTCTTGACCGAGCGTGAGTTTTGAGCCCTTCGCGCTGATTCGGCGATGGCGGCAGCGACGGAGTCGAAAACATTCTGTAGAAGGACATTTGTGCATGTGTATCACCCCCCCTCGTGCAATTCTGCTGGGGCAAGCCACCGAAGCGTCTGCGCAGGCATTGGTAGACAGCTTGCTGGAATGACGATGCCTGTGAATCGGTGCCTCGCTGTTGAAGCGACAAAACTTGGGAGGTATTCAGTACCATGACCACGTTTCTGTCGTTCTTTTTTCTCCTTCACACGGAGAGGACAACACACATACCTGGCAACAAACAATGTGAAAGCGGTTCGCTTGGCTACGTGCCGCGGGTCCTCGGTTATGTAAGTAATCCGTTGGCGGGGAGTTCTTTGTTCCAAACAGCAGTACAAAGGCGTAAGTCAAATCGTGTGTTCTTTGTTCTCGTCCAACGGACCTGGCAAAAACTATGTAAAGAAGAACAAAGACAATCGCAGATTTAAGGGCGAGAAATAGCCCATTGCACACGGGGGAACAACGTTGCTTACCAACAACAACATCAACCATGCTTGAAATGGAGGCGTTGGGGTGCGGCGTTTCGAAGTCTCTACAGCAGTAGCGTACTGGTGCGTATGTATGATGTACAATATCTAAATGCGTACCGCGTTGAAGTTCCCCGGGACCGGAGGAGAAGAACGCCGAGAAAAACACCGTAAATCAAGTACAACGTAGTATTGTTCTTCCCAGGTATATGGGGAACATGCGGACCAAAGCAGGCTGGCTGTAGTTTCGACAGGGCAGCACCACGACGGCGCTTTGAGTACTGCTGCTGCACGCACCGCCGCCTGCTGCCACGCTTGGAAATGGATTTTATCTTGCCGCACACCGCTCATGGGTTGTTCGTTGTCGTAGATGCCAATCACAGGGAGGGATGTTCGGTAAAGGAACTGACTGAACCGACTTCTGCTGCCAGAGTTCGAGTTGGTGGCGGGATACCCTACTACGCTTTCCATTGCAACTACTTCCAGGAAACAAACGAGCTGTTCCTGCAAATGAAAAAAGCAACAATCTTAGGTTTTGCCAAGCTTGGCAGTCCGGCGAGTGCATATAGCGGTGCGCGCTGGGTGCAGTGTGTGCTGACCCTCATCATCTGGCATCCAACTCTCTCACCGTTCAGCTTGAGAATGACCATCTTGTCCAGCAGCTCGTGGCGCAAGGCCTGGTCCTTCGGGCACGGCGGTATGTCCGTCGCCTGCACCATTGCCTCCCTAGGTGGAGGCTCCAGCCTTGCCCACTCCAGGGCGGGCTTTTGCCGCTGCTGGACGAACTGCCCGAACAGACGAAGAAATCCCTTGCGCTGGTCCGGAGGGAGCAGATCGAGCATGTGCACTGCCTCCTTCATGTTATCTTCGACGGAAGAATGTGTAGGCTGGTAGTGGAGCAGAGATTCCAGTCCAGCTTCGGCCCGCATCGACCGCCGTCGAATCCCCGTATTGTGCGCCATCTCTCTTCTCTCTGGCTCCCCCCTAGGTCCTACCTAGCGCGCACGTTGCGCTGCTGTTCGATGAGCCACGCAGCAGCAGCGGCAGCAGGCGGTGAGTTCTGTTCAACGGCGTGGGGTCACCAAAAATTATGGGTATGTAGCCCATATCTTTCGACGACACCGGAGCCCCCTCGTAAATTCAAAATGCTTTGGTTCAAAGCAAAACAAAATGGTACAGTATGTTGTGGGTGTTAACCTTTCGTTGTGTGCACGCGTACATCAACACAAGCTGGCGTGTGTGTGTCCTGTGTACTGCCGTACGAAGAGGGTATTGCAACTAGAAGCAGCGTTGGGCTCACTGTCGTACTTCCTGCTAGAGAATATTGTTGTCTTCACATTAAAAACTGGTCCGATCTCTCTCTACCCAGTACCTTCATATGTCCGTACTGATACAACACTTGACGCGGTCGATTTCCGTGGTCGCAGGCTAACTTACCCTAACAAGGATGGGGTGTGCCGAGAAAATATATGGTGCGCATACATGCGCACAATCCCCCCCACCTCTCGCCATACGTGTTGACCACATCCCTCCCGATTCAAACAAACGTTGCCAAAAGTTCAAAAGGCGGGGCTTGTCCCACATGTGATGTCTACCGCATCGAGTCACCCTTCGTTGCTGTCTCCATCCTCGACAGAAGAAGTTGGGAATATAATATCGCACGCTGCCGGGACAGATCCCCTCAGTATTGGAGGCTATAAGAAGCCGAACATACTGGTTTGATTTCGGATTCTGAAGAAGTTGGTCGTGGGTTCGCATGCCCCAACACTTTCCGAACAGGGTACCTACCCTCGCCAGAGCTGCAGTCCATCCAAACATTGATGGAAGCCGAAATCAAACCATTTAGACTACAACGTAGTCTGCGCTTACTAATCTAACGAGTTGATTTCGGCTCATCTATAAGGCCTGACTCGACTTTGGTGCGGCAACCGTACCGCTGCAGTCTACACATCCCTTTGAAGATTGACAAATTTGATGGTCCAAGGAGTTGGCAAACGTCGCACATTCATCGTCCTGTACATGCACGCAGGACACGTTTTCATACCACAAAAGACTGCAAGTGGCAAGGAGAAAGTTTCTCCCAACAATTCATCAGCCAACGATATGGTCGGCCATATCCGAGGTACCGCCCGCACTCCACACTCTATCCGCCGCGGCAGTATCTTCTTCAATCGCCAGCAACATGTCGATGTTGGTCACGACGTCCTTGGCCGTGATGGTGGAGTCCACCGAAGACAAGCTACCGAAATCCAACAACTCGCGCTCCTGCGCCTCTAGCCAAGACATGAGCGCCTGGCCATCGTTGCCATCTCCCAGAAAGAGGCTCGCCGATAGCGAAAGAGCTACAAAATAAGAAGGGACAGGAGAAAAAACAAAGTGAAACGAAGCTTGTTCAGGACCAATCGTGCGGGGTCATTTTTTCAGGGGATCACTCCAAAGTGCAACAAGTACTGGGGCTTCCAACCAGATCAAGTTGAGATTTGCGCAAGGCGCTCAAGGATAAGGCACAGCAGGGAAAAAATCCAATATTGGCCGATCAAGGACGAATAATACTGCTGCTGTAGCAAACGTTTGCTGTGATTCACCTGCCTGTTCTTCAACGCTCTTACACTAGGGTGGTCAAGGGCGCGACAGTGAACGGCTCACCTGAAGCAGACGCAAAAAAGTCGTGGGCAAAAAGACCATACCATGGAATGTATTTTCAGGGTCAAGAACTGAGAGCCTCTTGGGACGGATATTCGCTCGCAGCTCACCTCGCTCGATGGCCTCCGCAGCTTGAGCATCTCCGGAGAAGGAGTTCGCCTGGCTCAGCATGTCCCCAACAACATGGGGAAAGACCATCGCGCAGACTGAAGGGTAACTATGCCGCCCCAGCAACGAACCCGTTGCTCGGGCCACGAGCTGAGATGCGGAGGGAGCCGGTTGGGGTGGGAGGCGATCGATGAAAAATCTTCTGTTGCTTGGTCGTATCAACAGAAATCAACGCTCCTTGCCCAGCCAATCGTGCTGAGTTCCTTCGGGGAAGTCGGAAATGGAGCAGGTTCGCAACCAGCTCTTCTGTTTGACCTCCAAGGACAAACGTGAATGTTTGCTTCTTCGTTTAGGAATAGAACTACCCGCAGGTCTCAACCCACACAAGGTGCCTTGCACTCGCGGTATTTTACTGCGTCTACAGGCACACATTCTAGCACCGCGCATTGCAGGGGTAAAGAACTCGCGTCTCGCCCTTCCTCGTCTCGAGTGACCGCCCAAAGTGGTTTCTCAATGGCGAGTTTGCACCGCGGGCCGTGCCACACTACACCAGGTTCAACCGCGGGTATTCTTACTGTCAGACGACTTCAGAAGGTCTCAGCGGCGCCTGTACCTGAGTTGGTGGGGCCGGAGTGGCGACAGCGAGCTGTCCTGCACACACGCTGCCGATCGTCAACAGCTCTCTCGCCAGCTTGTTCTTGCCGTCCGCCAGGGCCACCGGCAAGCCCTCCGCCACCGCGTCGATGCCGCGCCTCCCGAGATCGAGGAGCGCGTCGCCGTTCTGCAGCGGTGTGCCGGAGGCCAGGGCCAACTCCCGCGCTAGCAAGGCATCAACGCAGGCGGAAAGCGCCGTCAGCGCCATGGCCGCCGTCTGCGACTTGCTCAGCGATGTGCAGAGAATAGGGTCCACCAGAGCTACCTGGGCGCGCGCGGGCGGTGATGCGAGCGCGTATAGATGCGTGTGCAGTCATCGTTGACACTTTGGTGCATGACCTAAAGGACATGGTGGGCGTCGGCGAGCGAGGAGTATGCTACTTTTTGCGGGAAAGGGCAACCCCCTTTGCACGTTTCAGTCATGATATGCTGCGCTGTGGCATGCGGAAAACGGGGGTGGTGATGCGAGCGCGTATAGATGCGTGTGCCGTCGTCGTCGTCGCTTTGGCGCGTAGCCTACAGGACACGATGGTTGTCGGCCAATGCGGAGTGTTCTATTTTTTGCGGGAAAGGGCCACCCTGTTTGCACTTTGCAGTTGTGCAATATGCTGAGCCGTGGGCCTTTTCGATCTTCGCAGCACAGGTAAACAGACAGTTCTGCGTCATGTACGCTGCCGTTCGAAGAGGTAGGTATCAAAACAAAATCATTCGACATCGCGGTGTTTTCACGCATGGTTCGCCTACGCAACAGAAACTTAGAGCTGTCGGCACAACTTTATACCCCAGGCTCACCGTCAGGGACTCGCCCTCCTCAGCCAGCGGCACCAGCACTTCGTCATCCGGGTGCCAAACCAAACACCGCCCGTTCGCGGCGGCCCCTGCGCCAGCAGAGGTCGGTATCGCCACAAGCGGCAACGCGTTTCCGGCAGGTGTTCGGGGCTTGCTGTGACCGTCCTCGCCCATGAGCACGCCACCGGGGCTCGTCAAGAATTGCTTGCACCCGCCGCTATAGGAACAAGGAAAATATTTGACCAACCCGGAAGTTAGAGAAAAAAAAGGGTGAATGTGTCGGATGTGTCGTGTCGTCCCACTGTTGTTGTTGTGACAAGCTGTTGGATGAGCGGGTTGTGGCAGTACATTATGGGCTGAGAGAGAAAAAAGACAGGTCCAAGCGTGTAACAGCAAGTGAAGGCATCACACCCATTTTGTGGCGAGGGCGAAACATTTAAGTGTCCGCTGCAGCTGCTGCTGTCCCCATTTCAATCACTCCGAACAGCAATATTTTATCATCTGCCTACCTGCTAGAGTGCAGCCTTGCTGCGGCCTTGGCAGTATCTATTGTCCCCCCGCGCCCAACGCTTACGATGCACGTCGCCCCGATCCTCCTAGCCATCTCTCGTGCCTCGTCTATGCCATCGGCGGTAGGGTAGGCGCCCCGGCCCGTGAACATCGCGCAGTTGATGCCAGCCTGCGGACGACAACGTGTGGGCAGCATAATGCAAACCTTGTTTAGCTCAAGACGTATGAACGAAGCGAATGCCACATAGAGCTAACTCTGCTTGCAAACTTGCCTAACGGAGTTCATGCCCCACAAGCCGTCGGGGATGTAATGAGACCCATCGACACAGCCCCGACTTTGAATCCCTATCGGTCCTTGCATGGTGAAAGATGGACGCCGCCCCGAAAACTACAAGTCCAACAAATCAAATGCGTCCTGTTGCTTCTCCAGGACAACTTTGCGTAGGGAGTTCAGACGGAGTGCAGACCCTTCGGCGACACCGCTCATGGCGAAACCGCTCATCTACCCCTTACACATCATGACACACAAACAAGGCTGCTATTGTTAGGCTAACCGTTTTCGCACCTTTCGCAGTTCGAACAAGCATCTTCCGACTGCTTGCCCTGGAGTGTTGTCATCGGCGATTGCCAGGCACGTTCTCCCGTGCCTTGATACCTGCGCAACAACCTGCTGACCGGAGGGAGCGGTGGGATTTATTGGCAAGTGCGGTGATCCGGCGAGCTGTTATAGCTGCTGTGGGGGCAGTGATCGCTATCGGCCGATTGGTTTACGAGGCTGGGTTACCACCAACATGATCAGAAGGGTTTAGCCATTAGACTGCATCAATGAGAGGTAGTCTAACGTAAGGCCATTCTTTAACACAACAGGGAGGGGAGGCGGGAGTCCCGATACCGACACGTCACAACTTGACAAAGCTCTTGACGAGACCTGTCCTTGCCATTTCGCTCGGATTGTTGGCACCCTGCCTATTGACGAGCACTCGACGAACCAGGCAAGCGGGTAGGCACTCTCAGAACCGTCGTCCTAAACTGTGTATAGCCAGTGGCATATTGCAGACGTAGGGGGAAGCTACAGGCCGAAGCGTAAAACTACACAGCATCGCTCAGGCAGAAAGACAAAGGCGTATTGCGATAGTAGTGCACACGCAGAAGAGGCCATAGACACTGCTAATATGTCTCTCGAGATGTACTGATGTAAAAGTACAGTAGTTTACTGCACTACTCAATAGCTTGGTCGCTGATCTGCACACCAAAAGGCGGCCCATCCTCGATTTCACCTTCATTTCCATCCATGTCACACATTCGGAGCGAGGGAACTTACCTTGGTCCAAGAACAGTCAGCCTCAACAATTAGCTTCGGACTAGGGCTAGGGCAAGATGACAATTTCCTCCTAATGCTGACCAGTCTGCAACGCATGGTACACAGAGTATTGCCGCTCTCAAATGCTCTGTTGGTGTGCGTTGTGCGTCAAAATGTGCGGCGGAACTTGGTTGGAGGGCGGGGGGACAGGATGACCGGATTTTTTTTTTTCGGCGTGTGCTGTGAACCGGATGCCCGCCTCATGGGAAGCCCACTACATACGAGACAAAGAAAAAACTCGTGGGCTCTCGCCCTCACCAGAAATTAACTGGTTTCCCTACAATGTGCGTCCGTGTTGTGATGGGGAAACCATGTTCGTTCAATGATCGGTGATTGTGATCACAAACCCTCCTTTCGACTTGCTTCTCCACCTAAAAATAGACAAAGAATAATTTTGTGTTTCTTCCGCCATCTGCAGGAGACTCTTGCCTATCCGTAAAATGGATGCAAATCGTTTTACGGGTGTACATGCAAGTTCAATGGCTGATCAAGAGCTCAGTTGCTGCGGTAAGGAAAAATCTGCTTGATGTTTCCTACTTATTTGCGCTTCGTATGCACACGTGTATGTACGTGCACCATACATTCTTGAGTGGACACACAGACGTTGCTTTCGGTTTGTCTCTCCCGAACAGCTTCAGACCAACAGTATCTCGGGAAGCACATTTACTTTCGTGTCCCGTGGTTATGGAGACAGAGTCCATCCGGTGGTCAACTACAAAACAGAAAAATCATCTCGCTGAGGGCAGCGCGGGACGACAAGCATCTCCAAAAAGCAAAAACGCAATCCTCTGCGATATGCACTGAATTCGTCCATCAGGGAGTGAGAGTGCCAAAGAGTAAACCAGGGTATTAACGAACACCCCCCCTTTAACAAACACTTTTTTCAAATGCACGTCCCTCAGCGCACAATGCGCGGAGCCCCCCAATTTTTTTTTTGAAATCTTCAGCTTTCCGTTAGCTTTCGTTTGAGCACCTCCGCGTGTCGATCGGGTCAAGCACTCCCGAGATACAGCACAGCCCTCACCCACACCCCTTATGTGGGGCATCTTTGCCCTTTTCGGGGTCCTGCTGCTAAGCATGGGACGTAAGAGAGTAGACCCAGAGCAGGCCCAGAAGGCTGTAGATGCGGTACGCAGCGGTGAGATGTCGCTCCGCGTTGCTGCGAGGACCTACGGGTTACCGCTAGCCTCGCTGCACGACCGTGTGAAGAACAAGGTGGCCATAGATGCGAGGGTTGGTCCCGGGACTGTCCTGAGCAAGGAGGAGGAAGATTTCGTAGAAGACGTCTTGATCTACGCCTCCCGACACTTCTTGCTGTTGGGTCGGAGGGAGCTGAGAGACGCTGTGCGCAACATCTGCACCGACGGGCGCAAGGTGCCCTGGGACCCAGACAAGGGCCCTGGGGACAGCTGGCTTGAGGGGTTTATGGCGAGACACCCGGGTTTGTCGGAGCGAGCCACCCACATCTACGAAGCAAACCGGATTAACGAAGACGGCGAGCCTCGCCTTCAAGCTTTCTACAAAGCATGGGCGGAGTACCTGGAGGAGACCAAGCTCCCGCCGGAACGCATCCTCAACACGGATGAGACAAGTGAGTTAGGGCAAGGGTTGAGGTGTCAGTAGGTGTCATTGGGTGTCAGCGGTGTCAGTATCGACTGCTGTGGGTTCGTAGGCGAAGTACCAGCAGCACTGCGATGTGTCACAACAACGCGGAGTTCTGCTGCTGCAAAAAAAAAAGATCCAGCAGTTGTCCCGCATATCTTCCGAGCCGTTGCTGCTTGTCATGCGCGTAGCACACAACACGCCCGCATGTTTGCTGCTGGAGTCGGCTGAGGTTAGCATGTAACAGTCCCTGTGGTCATCTCAGTTGCACTCTGCCGCATGATTGCATGTGTACATCGTTTTCTGTTGTGATGCTACCGGCAACAGCGGGCGTGTGTTCTTGGTCTGCAAAATGCATGTGTGTTGCTGAACGACGCGCGAAGTGCAGACTAGTCTAGTCACGTCGAGACTTCAGTAGAACGCTTTGTTTTTGTAAACCCACCTACGTTTGGAGCTCAATGCAAACTGCCATGGGTGTGGGGTTATTGTTTCGCACCCAAAGTTTAAACGAATCCGACACTTGCCGCACAAAAAATGGCCTTCACCACTGCTGTGTGCCACCACCCGGAGCGAGCAGCACCCATGTGTGTTTGTACGCGCGTTTTTTGTGTGTCTAGTTTACTGATTGTTCAACTGTCTTTACCCCCGATGCGCGCGTGTTGTAGGTTCGACCCCTCAAGGTACAAAGTCGGGGAAGGCAATCGTCGCAAGAGGCACCAAGGTACCCGGCGCGAGGCGTTCCAATTCGCGAGAAAATACGACGGTGGTCGCCACCATCGGTGCCGACGGCCACACGTTCCACCCTACCATCATCTTCAAAGGCCAGCGTATGCAACCCGCTTGGATCCAGGACAACAACGGCGTCCCCGATGCGAAGTACACCGTCACGGAGTCATCCTTCATCCAGAGCCACGTCTTCCTGGACTACCTTCGAGACCTCCGCAAGCAGCTCGATGCGCGCGGCTTGCTGGGCAAAGCTGCCCTTGTGCTCGACGGCCACGCCTCACACACGACCTTCGACGCCATCAGCTTGGGCATCTCCCTGGACATGGACCTATTCCAGCTTCCATCCCACACATCGCACATCACCCAGCCCTTGGACGTCGGTACGTTCGGAACCTTCAAGATGGAGATCACCAAGGTGCTCACGGCCTACCCGCTAAAGAACGGGGGGAGGAGTCCGGTGAAGCGCGACATGGCTGGCGTGATTGCGGAGGCATGGGCAGGGAGCTTCACGCCTGAGAACAACAAGGCGGCGTTCAAAGGGTCGGGCTTGTGGCCGGTGAGCATGGAGAAAGCTATCAACAGACTACACAGCAAGAGGAAGCAACGGGACCATGACCGCCCTATTCGTGAAGACCTCGCCGTGGTTGCCTCTAAGGATCAACTCGAGCGAGACCTCGGCCGCGCTGCCCTCCTGGAGCTGAAAAGACACGGGCTGATGATCGAGGGGCTCCGTGTCAACACCGTGTTCCTTGGCGGGCTCACCCGCCTCACCAAGCGCACCAAGGCTTTCGCGACCGTTCGGGCGGGGGGGGGGAAGCCCGAAGGTGGTCTGCTGTCCGCCGAAGAACATCTTGCTCAGGCCAAGAAGGACCAAGAAGCGAAGCAGGCAGCTGAGGAAGCAAAGGCGGCACGCGCGGAGGCAAGGGCAACGAAGGAGGCCAACCAACAATCTGGAGCAGTTGGTGGGCGGGGCGGCGGGCAGGGCGGCGGGCGGGGCGGCGGGCGGGGCGGCGGGCGGGGCTTCGGGCGGGGCGGCGGGCGAGAGGGGGGGAGAGGTGGAGGGCGCGAGGGTGGGAGAGGTGGAGGGCGGAGCGGGGGGCGTGGCGAAGGACGGGGCGGGGAACAGGACGGAGGGCGGGGAGAGAGGAGCGTGAGGGTTGAGCTAAGCGGGACGCGGACGGCGATCAGGGGGCGCGGTGGCGGTGGGCGAGAGGGGCGTGGCAGAGGACAGGGTGGCCAGGACCGCACCACTGGTGCTCGTGGAGAGCAAATGGGGGCGGGAGGGCGGGGGGGGGACGAGGGGAGAGGTGCTCCCGTCCAAGGAGGAGCGGGACGGCCGAGAGGGGCGGCGGTTCCCTTGGTTCACCCGCCGCCGTCGGCGGCTCCCATTTCTTCCCGAGGACGGCAGCGGATCCCGACACCAATCGTTGATGTTTAGACCAGGGCAGATGCTTTGCGGTTGTTGTTGTTTTTCTGGGCTACTATTGTCTAGGCGGTGGATGAATTAGACTATACGAGTAAAGCAGAAGATTAGGTGGTTTGTGGGGGCATGTGGAGATGGTTAGGGTGCACCCCAGCAGCGCGGGGGGGGCGGGGGGGTTGATACCGGGAAACCCGGGGATATGGTAATTTTGTCCCCGGGCATGCATGATTTTTTTTTTTTTTTGCAACAGCGTTTCTTGTGATAAAACAAACCTACACACCAAAGGGCGTCTTGTGGGAATGTAAGATGACTGTGAAAAAAGGGAAATGGCCTTGGGGTTCTTGCGGAGAATTATAGCGGTAGCGGCCGGGTCAAGGGGTGCCTGTTTGAACGGGCATTACATCACATGCGCGAAGTTTTTCGTCCTAATTTTTTTTTCTTGAGTCTGTATATGATCAGATTAGACCCACTGTGCAATAATCTCTTAGTTTTGGCTCTTTTCATGTGTGCAGCACCGCCGTACGGTCAAAAATGGGGTAAAATCCGTCCCCGATTTCAGGCGGAAAACCCGGGGATGTGAGGATTTTGTCCCCGGGCGTGGATCGATTCCATTTTTTTTTTCCTAAACGGATATATGTTGCGACAGACGTATCTCCACAAAAAATCAGATCATGAAACGCTTCAGAACGCACGAAAGCAGCTACAAAGCTAAAGTGTTCGTTAATTGGGGGGGGGGTGTTTTCCTGCATTTTCAGCTAAACAATGGAATGCACTGCATCAGCTCTATCTCGTTGACACGAACGATTTTTTTTTTTTTTTAGGGAGGTAGCCTATAATACAAGCTATCGTCCGGTACCCACAAATACATCATACTCCTCTTCATGCCCGAGAACGAGCTGTTGGCGCGAGGGGTGGCTTAAGCGTTCGTTAATTGGCCGGTTTACTCAACATATCTACCTACATTGGCGGGTGGGAACAACACGCCTGCATATACTCTGTCTAGACAATTTGCAGCCTCCGTTTGAGAACTCCCCCGCAGTAGACAAGCAATAATAGAAGTCAGCGCCACGCATGGTTTGTATGTATCTGCTTGGCGAAAGGCACACGTGCCCACCCAGCATTGGCAAGTTTCGCTCAAGTGGTTGAACATATTACACCACAGAAGGTTTTGACACTACGACACCCCGACGTTGTCTGTCTTCTTGAACAGGCCCAACCATCAAAAACAACTGGGGTGGTAAATTTTCTCATGGCCACCCGACCTTCGGACAATTGTTCTTTAGCTATTGGCGCCCGCCTGCCCAAGAACCAACAACGTGTGCATGGAAGACTGGATCTCCGGACCGCACAGCATCCAGTATCGGAGGGAAAATCGCAATTTTACACTGTGCGTGTACAGGCACAAGGCCACGAGCTCTACATGTACACAGCAACGACCGTGGAAAGCTTACGCCACGAGGAGAGCTGTAGATCTGTACACAAAGCAAACACAACTTTGCCAGCATGACCACAAGAAGTCCACGTAGGGAGCGATGCAATTAGCCTCAATGGCAGTACCAAAAGTTGCTTGCTACGGTTCAAGCCCTGCCGAACCCTAACCGCCCGTGACATATTTATATTACTGCGACACGGCAAAGCACGTACGGTGCATGGGCTTGCCCACTAACTGAACACCGAACATGATCGACTCATCCACATAAAATTACCTCAGCACCAAGGAAGCCAAGACGATTGGTTCTCTACAACTCTCGAGAGGATTCGAGACTTTTCCTTAAAATGTCGCCCTCGTCATCGACGAACAACACGTAGATGACGATACCGATCATGAATATCAACCCCGCCCACTGGTAAATCTGAAAGACAGGCGCCTTTTCCCACCCCATGACCTCCATCTCAAACGTCAAGGTAGCGTTGGCAGGTATCGGCCCCGTCGCCCTTCCTCCGTACCCGTACTCCGGCCCCACGGTAAGGATTGCCCGCTCCCCCTTTTGCATCGTCGACACGGCGTAGTCCCAACCTCGTATGACCTCCCCTTTTCCCAGCGCAAACTTTATTGGGCCTGGGAGTTGAACGGACAAAACAGAGAGAGTCGTGTTCCATTATCGATTGCAGGTTCGAAAACAGTCGTGCAGTCTCTACTTCTGTGCACGATTGAAGGTTGTTGACAAGGTTTACGGTGACGTTCGGAAAAGGTCCTCGGAGCTGGACTACGTGCGCATCCTGTCACGAAATAGACGGCATCCAAATCTCCGGTCTTCTATGACAGCTGGCAGTCTCCCCCAGAGGTGTTCGCAGCACACGCAAACGTCACCATTTCAAGTGCTGTGGTCCCCGAGGTCAAATCGCATCCTAAATCTACAAATTAGGAAGACTCAACGCACTGTTCCTATCCCGCTGTATCCTCACAGGTGCTGGACAAGTCTGCCTGCAGCAAGCAGTAATACTGCCGTGGCCGTTGCCTGAACATGCCCACATTCAAACTCAGGTGTGCGGGGGAATTACACGTGGCGACGAGGTTCCAAGTGTACCGTGCACAGCACCAGTGCTACTTTTTTCACGCTGTGACTACCAAGACCGGGAGATAGGAGCGGCGGGGCTTCCTTCCCTCGCGATTCCTTCACCGCCGTTGGATCCGGCTCTGAACTCAACGGCGAGCAGCGCAAAAGACACAACTACCTGCTGTTGGGTCAATCGCTCACTCGAGCGACTATTGATCCTGCCCCCAACCAGTGCTGCTGAACAGGCACCGTATTTAGTATGGTGTCATCGAGCGACTTAAAAAACTGTGCACTCGCTGTTCATCGAAACCGCACCGTGCCCGAGGTGCCCCTGCAGTACAGTTTTAGTGCCTGCACATATGAGCCTCTACATGTAGTTTCGGCCGAGGCTGGGGTCTTTATTTTTCTTGTGAGCAACAATTGCCCGCTGTAGACTACAGGTTTTCAGTGCTGGGGAACCCTTTTAGCACTGCATGACCAAACGGGACACTTCGGGGACAACCGTCTGATGATCGCACCATAGTCGTCAAAAGGCTCTGCTGTCTGAAAAGCGCGTGGAAACCTTGGTCTACCATACTTGTGTGAAGGAGGTACGCTGTGTCACAGGTATACTGCTGTGTGATGCCTCTCCTCGGCCACTGATTTGCTGTAAACCTATCTCCCAAGCCGCGTGTGCCCTTGCTGGCAAAATCTGCATACAATAGCCTAGAACTGGAAAAATCTGATGACTTGGCTTCAGTATGGAAAGTGTCTCCATGTTTCCATGCATTTGGTGACACTTTTATGTCAAAAACCAAGTCGTCCCTCGGGACTGTACCGCCGGTCCCAATGAGCGAATGCGATTTTTGTTCTGTAAACTGAACTACTTTGCTTGCTTGTTCGAGGGTTAACCACCCGGGCTTACAAACGGTGCTCAAGCTCTTATGTTTGATATTGTTGATCACAAAGTTCTTAGCTTCCAAGTTCTTAAGTGTGGGCCCTATCTCTTGATACCATTGTTGTAGGCTCGACCTGCACGCAGTATAATGCATACCTCGACCGGCGCTGGTGTCGAACTCGGTGCCGTCCTTGAGCTTTCCCGTATAATGTACACTCACCTGTGAGCGGAAAAAAAAAGCAGACTTTAGGTTTCCTTCCCCACGTGGATGCTCCTGACCGTTACCTTCGGCTCAACTACGTCCGGCAGTCAATACTGGCGCGTACGCTACAATTTTAGTCTATTAATAGGCGTGTTACAGCAGTAGTCATTTTGAACTTCTGCGAAGCATTTTCTCAAAACAGCCCGAACCAAGCCCGCAGTTCGGCGCAGAACCTCTTTCCGCCGAAGATCCAATGCTTTCGCGTAAGCCAAAGAATAGGCCACGAATCCTGAGTACGGGAGACACGTGCTCTGGAAGCTTCGTCCTCCAGTAGCTCACGTTGCTTCCCACAGGAGGTAGCTCCCCGTTTCCTGGCCTGACGATCTTCTTCATCAAGACTCCTGGGGTGGATTCCTCGCTCAAGTCGACCATCGAATCGACCTTCTGTTCGCCGCCGTACTTTTGGTCACGGCGTTCTTCTGCCAACCTAGTTTTAGCTTCGCTCTCGTGAAATAGACCACTTATCAGCGCCATGGTTCACGCCGTTTATGGTAATTCTTGCGGTGCCAGGTACTGCCGTGGGGTGCGGTTTGTGTTCGTGTATGCTACTCCTGCTGCGGCTGTGTGTTGCCAGCGGGCCACGTAATCATACCCTTCTTTGTTTATGCGTTCTACGGTACATTCGCGGGTCCCCCGACCGGAGATCGCATTCACGCCGCATCATACAGCTAGCAGACGTTGGCGCAGAGGGCGCTGCAGCACACAACCATGTCTCTCGTACGACACCTTCCATCGACAAGGCCTGCCTGGCGTACGCTTGCAGGGGCGCGTCATTACGTGGATGGCGAATTGCTGCCGCCAAAACCACTGCTGCAATCGAGTTACGCCGCATTCTCCCGGCAGCCTTCGATACTGCAAGTGCTTCCGTCTCCTCCGTCAAGAAGATCGCTCTACGTGCTCCGGCGTTCCGTACGACCTGGTGGTGATCCTGGTGCGACTATCGCTTTAAATGAACACGCGTCTCGCAAGCGCCTACTGGAGGGACGACGTCTTTCTACCCAAAAGACAGGTGACGTCAACAACAACAGCAACAACAACTGCTGGAAGTGCGGCTTGGAGATAAGCTGGCGAGAGCACTTCTGCAAATGCGGCGTGATCCAGCTCCTGGATGAGCGGCTGGACTACTTCGAGTTGTTCCAGTGCACTCCGTCTGTGTTCTTGGAGCTCAAGGAAGTCGAAATGCGGTTCAAGAACATGCAACGCGCTTTCCATCCGGTGAGCACACCTGCTGAGTACTTGTTACAGCAACGCCTACCGCAGCTCATCCTTTTGCGACCGCAGCAGGAAGTCGCTTGTGATGTCATCGTTCTGTGGGTCCACATTTACTCGCGTAGAAACCATGTGCATGGTTGTGTATGTAGCCTGCCAAAACGACATAATATGCCCAAGTCCAAACGGTTGTACGTTTGTGAGTGAACGGCTCTCCGCTGGGTGTCTCGTGTGGCAAGGGCGGCTGGCGTCGGGGTGTGCGCGTGTTTGCCTCAGGGATTGAAGAGGTTGAAGGTGTGTGAGCTAAGGCATCGACATTTTCTTTGGTCGTACCTTGCCTGCGTTTTGATCCCTGGCGGATTTGTCAGGACCTTTACGCCAGCAAGAGCGAAGATGAGCGAGAAATATCGGCTGCGAACTCAGCGACGGCGAACAAGGCGTACCAGACTCTTGTGCAACCTATGGCGCGCGTCAAGTATCTGGTAAGGCCTCCGATCAATCTGATCGAAGTCGGATCACGCACATGTTGTGGTGGTGAAAACAACTGTAGGTCAGTACGCCCATGTTTGGTTTGTACGTCAAGCGGGATGTCGACTTTTGAACTAAGTAGGTGTTCTCACAACAGAGCTGGTTTCAGCCTGGCACATTCGCGGGCCATGCTTTTTCCGTTGCTGTCTGGCGCTCACCACAAGAACCATCCACATTTTACCGCGCGTACAGCCGCAGCTGCGAAGTATTGTCGGCCTCACGGACCCTATTCACAATTCCCGAAGGCCATGGGTAAGCAGGGCGCCAATAGGAACATATCTATCGACAAGAGTCGACCAGGGCTAATATTACGCCGTCTTGGGCATCCCTCCCGCAGATGCGTCTACTGGGATCGACGGCGTTGGAAAAAGAGGGGGAAGACGACAGGACCTCTGTCCCTATGGACTTCTTGATGGAGGTGATGGAGACGAGGGAAGCCTTGGAGGAGTGTTCGTCCAAGGAAGAAGCGGAGGCTGTGTTGTCGGAAACAAGCGCTGCGGTCGAAGAGTGCTTGAGCGGTATGGACGAGGTGTTGAAAGCGGGCGGCGGCAAGGACGAGCTCTCCGACGCGGCAGTGCGCCTGAGGTATCTTTACCGCATCGAGGACGAGGCTCGGCGCGTCATGCATAGGCTAGAGGACAGCCTTGCGGGTCCAACAGCCGGGTAATCGATGTGCCTGGCTTTCCATTGAACGAAACTGGACACGCAGAGGGGCTATCCGAGCAGTCTATTAGGGAGAGAGGGAGATTTGGAAGAAAGTCTCCCAACACCCGGTACGCTGTTGTTTTTCAGAATGCTGTTGTGAACAATTACGCACTGCGCACTGGGGGCAGTCTTGAACCATGCTCATCCGAATGTGCACAAATACGGGTTCACGGGCAAGAAATCGGCCCTAACAACAAACACGCGTCTATCTGTTGACCGACCAACACGTTGGTTGGCCGAGTAGCGTTTCTGGTGCGCTTGGCAGGGCAGGCGTTTTACCGTCATTTCGCCACGCCGGTTGGTGCTTGGCGATGGAGGACGCAAAGAGTAAGAATACAAACATCGTCCGATGAAGACAACGACCGCGCTAACACCACGGATACACAAAAGTTTGGCGCGGAGGCCCTTTGTATATTGAATCCGCCAATTTTCCATCCGTTCTGTGGGCTGGTCGCCAAGTGCAGCAGGCACCACGAAAAGCGACAGCGCTTGGACGTTACTCTCCATGCCTGTCTCCCTTGCTGACCGGCAACACGTACATCGGCCTGCTCCTTGTGCCAACGTCATGTAGGGAAACAGCTCGGCTCCATCAACCCTTTCCCTCGGAGTCATCGTAGATACTTCAAGCACGTTGTTAATTTGAAACACCGTCACCCAAGCAGTAGTAGAGAGTATAATTCAGGTAAATCAAGCTTCAAAGGAATGCTTCTAGAAAACACGGGGAAATATTCCGACAGATTGCTCCCTCCGCTATAGAAGGTGACTGTTTTTACGGTCTCGAGGCGGACTTCTCTTAAGAGCGATTTGCCATCGCCAAGGCAGTGTACTGCATCCCTCCCGTCTCTTTCAAGTAGCGAGCCTTGCGTGCTTCGGCGTCCTTCTTCGTTTGCTGCATCTCGATCGTTCTTTTCGCCAAGTGTCGCTGCCGCTGGGCCTGGTCCTTCATTCTATCCTTGACGCTCTTTTGCGCCATCCTCGCTTGCGGGTTCAGCCGCACATCCTCTGCCACCGCCTGCAGCGATTCCACCTGAGGTTGCAGGCATCAACTCTACGTTAGTTGGAGCTAAGACGCCACCTACGCCATGGCACTGCCTCGCCATCCGACTTCAATCCTTTCGAGTGCAGTGCGTCGTGAAACGCGCCAGCAGTTTTGCGTGCCCGAGGATTGGGTGCACCGCCCTCAGTAAACGCATTCGTCAGGCTACAAAACAAGCACGGTGATTTCTCTAGCGAGGGCTCTACTCTTGCATGCTCGGTGGCGCCCAACAGGTTCAGAGCCATGCACCGGGCGGCGGGCTTTAACTCGCTGCGGCGGCTGAAAACTGGTGTTGATCCTAAAAGCCAAGATCGATGGCTCGCCATTTCAACCGGCATGGTATGCGTTCAAGCTCTGTGCGCGGAGAATCCACCAATTTGCCCCATCGTCAAGTGACCCACTGCTGTGTGTCATTTCGAAGAGGTTTCGATCTGGGAGCCCCCCATGACGGGCGTGTTCTCGTTCTCTCACTTTCGCACTCTCGCATTCAGAGAGAATATTACTTCGTTTTCACTCGGGCACTTTTGGGGACCTGGTATATCGGTACAACGAGTTCTTGGCCCCACACGATGGGGACCCCTCTTTCATTTTGCCCATTGATAACAACCTCTGCCTCGCCTTCAAGGTGTACGAGGCTGGGTATCCTTTTGTCCTCATCTCTGTGTGGCTCGCTCACTGTGTCACCAACAAACAACTCTGGGAAACCAGTTGTCGTCTTCAATTTCGGATATTGTGCCTGTGCCCGGGAGAACAAAAAGTGTGTCCTATCCGAACCCCCATACATCGAGCATCGAGCGAGGCCTTGATAGGCTCGTGCCACTATTCTACAACGCAGTGTCTGCCCTTCTACACAAGGTGTAACTGCACGGCCGCACTCACCCAACTGTCTCGAACGCTCCCGTTCTCAGCTTCCAACTCCAATAAGAGATCCCCTGTTTTGGAAGACATGATGAGACTTGCCGAACCTGTTCAGAGAACGTCGTGTATAAAAGGAGAAAAGGCAATGGACACACGCAAAAGACTGACGTTGCAAGTCTTTCAAGAGCCCACACCTGCTTCTTTTGACCCACGACCAATTGTGGCAAAACAGCACTGGCGTGGGCGAAATCATCTGTCGGGACCCCAGGCATTAACGGCGAGCTGCCAAACCATCGCGGTGTTCATTCAGACTAGCTCTGCCTGCAGAGATTCGAGGAGTTGTCTCTACATGGTGCGCGTCCCAGCGGTTTGCGGGGTATGCCGTGGGAAACTACAGCCTATATACCCAGCTAGCACCCTCGCACGCAGTAGGCACACCGTAGGCAGTAGTCAGACGTCTCGAGTACAGACAACCTCAGTCGGACATCGCAAGATAACTGCACCAGATAGCAAAGCAATAGAAGCAGCAGCGCCAACCTTTTGGTTCTACAGTCTTGATGTCGTTGAGATCGATCTCGTGCCAGTCCTTGTCCTTGTCCCCCTCGCTCTTCTTTCTCCACGCCAGGACCGTGTCGAAGTCTGGCTTCAGCCGCACATTGGTGGATTCATGCCCGGTGCCGAACCCAAAGGTGAACGTTCTTCGCTTGAACAGACCCCCTGTGGTGTGGATGGATGAGTCATGCGGTATTTTGACACAGCGATCATCACGCCACAGAACGAGCGGTGGAATGTACACCCTCCTTTCGTCTGAACAAGATGGGACAACAGCGGGAGTTTACTGTCTAGGAAAGGTTACCCGTACAGTACACAAAATACAACACGGGAATTGTGTATCCCAGCATGTGCTGCTGTAGCAGCAAGCACTTGACACATGTTGTCGATGTGATACCTACACACAAATCAACGATTTTGGTTGGACAAAAAGCCGTATCACATGCACCCCTCTAGTTTGCTTTTTTAGATCCAATCACTGAAGGGCTACCCTGTTGCTTAGCCCTGTTTACCACATCGCATCTGCACCGAGGCAGTGCTGTGTTACACGCTGCGTTCTTTTCGTCGAGTCTCGAGCACGGACGACCTTGTGATTTTTGTGATTTTTTCGGGGGATCTCGAAGGCCGTTTGGAACGAGCACTAGAAGCGAGTTACGTCATAAGACGCATGCCTTGACGATGGGGCAAGCATAACAGCCATTCGAACCTCAACGAAAACCTGGTGTGAGAAGCTGACATGCTGACATTGCAGACGCGTACTGCTGTGGTCGTGTCGATAGCCTCGCTGAAGATTTCCCGTGGCACTCGACAAGGGACAGCGGAACAACTGCTTACCTTGTCGTAGGAACTCTGTGTGTCGACGCAGGCGATCTCTTTCTCTCCAGGATCTCACACATTTTAGTAAACAAGAGCACGGCCCCGAGTAGTCATCGCCCATGGTCAGAGACACTCCAGAGAAATTGAGTGACGAGCAAGAAGCTACGACACATCTGACATGTGCAACGGAGATGACAAGGAAGAGGGGATACACAGAGAATACCTGTTCAAACTATAGCGTACGCGAGCGAATCACGACTCCCCCTAATTCCGCCGCACAGCTGCTGCCTGCGTGCAGCGGAGCGTCAGAGCAAGGTGGGAACGTGTACTGCAGTGTCCTGTGGCCGGTACAGGGCGTATCGCGTTGATCACGGGTTTATCTCGTCGTGTGCTTGCACTGGATCTCATCAGCCCCCCTGGGCAGCAGGTCGCCGAAGAATCGGTTGAACAGGCGAACGGAAAATCAGCCAACGGCGGTCCAATGGGCAACGACGACCGACATCGTCGAAGCTCCGACAGGGAGCGACCACGTGGTGATTATGTTGCTTCGCGCAGCGGACATCCTTCAGGAAGCTCGCGACACGGCGACTGTGATGACCGCAGGGGTGCCAGTGACAGACGCAGCAGCAGAAAGGCGTCAAAACGAAGCCGCAGCCGCAGCCGCAGCTGCAGCAGTGGCTCGGATCACCAACGGCGACGGCGAGAGCGGGGGCACAGCCGTAGCCGATCCCGCGAGCATAGCCACGAGCGCTCGCGCCGGAAGAGCAGGTGGGGTGATCACGAACGGCGACAGCAAGACGCACTGGAATCAGAGGACGAGGGAGACAAAGTTACCGATGCGGCCGAACCCCTGCCCGTCACCCTCTTCAAGGACGAGCTCATGAAAGCGGTGCGGGAGAGCCAAGTGTTGGTGTGTACGGGCGAGACCGGTTCGGGAAAGACAACCCAGATCCCGCAGTATCTCCTCGAGCTCGTGCGCGAAAGGGACGCCGACACAAGCGCCTCAGGGAGCAAGGATAACAGTAAAGACGATGGAGTTACGCTTGACACGCCAGCACCTGGAGACGGCAAGAGGCCCTCCCACAACAAGAAGAAGCTTCTGGTTGCCGTCACGCAGCCGCGGCGGGTGGCAGCGACGAGCGTGGCGAAGCGCGTGGCCGACGAGCGGGGGTGCCGGCTGGGCGAGGAGGTCGGGTACTCGATTAGATTTGAGGATCGCACGGGGCCTCGCACGCGCATCAAGTACATGACGGACGGGGTGTTGGTGAGGGAATGCCTGGAGGACCCTTACTTGAGCCGCTACGGCGTGGTGATGCTGGACGAGGCACACGAGCGCAGCATCGACACGGATATCTTGTTTGGCTTGCTGAAGAGGGCCCTGGCGCGCAGGCCCGACTTGCGCGCGGTGATCACGTCCGCCACCCTAGACGTCGAGCGGTTCGCGGCATTCTTCGATGGGTGTCCGTTCATCAGCGTCCCGGGCCGGACGCATGCGGTGGACGTTTACCACAGCAAGACTCGCCAGGTAGGAGAAAGGGAGCCCGCTTCCTGCCAGCAAGCCTTCGTTCTTGTTGCCTGGTTTATTGTTTCGACTTCATCGTTGTGCGCTACCGTACGTGGACCGGCGTGTCGATTCAGGCCGCTTCTCTACTCAGGTGATGCGACCATTAACCTTTGTCGGGCATGGCGGGGAACGCATCACCTCCACCACATATGTTTTTCACGTTAATACATAGTTGTCGAGGCACGAGCAGCAACATCCTGTTGTGCGAGCAGCCACGCGTTGTCTCCTCCTTAAACGTAGTACCCTCTCACACAGTCTGAGTCTGCAGGAGCTTGACAAATGCTGCCCGCCTGGTCTCGAACCAACGCAACAGGTGATGACGGCCACTGGCCCTGCCTCCCCCCGTTACGTCGAGGACGCGGTCGACATCATCCGCAAGGTGCACCGGACCCA